CATCTTTACTTCGCGTTTGACCAGCTATACTTTGAAGAATAATAAACAAACTTATTTGATGGATGAGTTGCACGGGGTGTGGACCGTGCGGTCAAATTGCCCCAAATACGCGTGACGCTACTGTTGGATAAAAGCTTTGTTTTTCCTGTTCGTGTACAGTCCTCTGGCATGACAACACCAGAACAGTGTTAGAGCTTACAGTGGTTCGTGAATCAATTATTTATCTTCCTTAGAGTTGACCTCTACGCGACACTCCCGGTGAAGACTTTTAGATACATAGATAGATAGATCATCTTTATTTATCCACGGTACATAATTCGTCAGCTTAAAGGAGTTTTTGCTCTTCTGGGGGTCTGACACTTTTCCACATGTAGTTTGGCTGAAATAAGATATTACGTAACAAAAGAGAGTTAGCTGACACAGAATGCATTGTAAGCAGAGCGGATGAGAGGTAAGAGAATTAATCCCCCATATGGGCTTTCAGTCGTTCCTTTTTTCCTACCCAACATTCTGGGGAACAATTTACTAAGGACAAGACAAGTTCTCTTTTTTGTCCGTACACGGAAGGCCTGAGACTTAGTAAAGGCTCTACGTACAAAGTAACGGTTCAAAATGGTACAGTAATACAGGAATGACCTGAATTGGACGCTAAATCCTACGGGGATCTTATACATCCCCGAGGGGCATTAGTTGTCTTGCCCACCGGTTCATCTTCTTCTCCGTCGTTACTTCGGTCGTGATGGTTGTGTTACGACCCAAACCGTGACCTTTACTTAAATCGTCACGCAATCCTCACGACCCAAACACCGGATGGGATTACCAACCGACGCAGTCAACTTTCTGTTTCTTGAAACTATAATCTCACCTATTAGCTGGTTGAAACAGGCACATGACCAAAGCGATCGCTACGCCTAGGAAGGCAACAGCTATCATACAGATGTAAAATGTTTTCAAAGAACTGGCCGGCTTTTCTTTACTGTGTTCAGACCCTGAAAATAAGACGAGACCGCGAGTGTCGTTACTAACTTTAGGTGCCGGAGATATGTAGACAGAAAATATCAGTGTTACACCCTCCAGGTTCTGAGGAACGGAGGAGCCACTAAACTTCAGAACGGTGTTGCCTGAAACAGAATCCTTATTCCGTATTGCCAGCGTTAAATTGAAATATCACAGTTATACCTCTACGCTGAAAGTATGAGATGGTATAAAAGCAAACGTGACTGCGATACCGAGGAAATCACAACCACAAGAATTTAAGTTTTTCTAAAACATCCCCTAATGTTCTAGATTTATGTTCGTCAGAGATATCCTTTACTAAAAACCTATACTGAAATAGCCTCCACTGAAATGAAATGAATTAAAATGTAGTGGTTTATTGTGGGGGCTTCGGCCTCCACATTGCTGCCGTCGGCGGAATTTATTTGTCTACGTGTCGCGATCGCAAGGTCATCTGGGAGGAATTGCGCGTTGGCCGCACCCGGTGGTAGTAGGAA